TTTAGGGCTTAGGGTTTAGGGCTTGCTTCTGAAAGCTTAAACCCTCTTCGGCTCCTGTCTCCGGGGTAGGCGTTTAGGGTTTTGGGGGGTTTGGGGTTTCGGGGTTTAGGGTTGAGGGTTTAGGGTTTGAGGCTTGGGTTTTGGGGTTAAGGTTTCTTTGGGGACCTAGGCAGACAAGAAGGTTTGCTGTACTTGACTTTCCTGGTTTAGGGCATAGGGATCCAGGGATGCACCTTTGGGGAGCTCAAGCGAAGAGGCTTTCTGATGATTGGGAGTTGAGACTTCGGGCTCTAAGTGTGGTGATCATGGGACTTAGTAAACAACATAGGGTTTAGGGTTTAGGGTTTAAGGTTTATAGGGTTTAGGGTTTAGGGTACTTAAAGGATCATGGGACTTAGTAAATAAGGTTGTCAGAACCTTAATTGGGCTTATAGCTATTTCTTAAGTACAGTTAGCTTGTTTATAGCCCGAGTTACTAAGTCCCGTGATCCTTCAAGCTAAAGATCCCCTTTAGAACCCTTAGAGATCCCTTTTAAGGCGTTCCTTAAGGAACCCCTTTAAGTTACTATGGTGATGCCCTAAACCCTGGACCCTAAATCCAGTTGAGCCCTGCCCAAAGAGCCCAATAGCCCTTAATTAAGGAAGAAACCTTAAATCATAATATTAAGGACCCTATCATTTAAGGTCTATTCCTGGAATATACCTTAAATCATAATATTAAGGCCCCTATATTTTAAGGTATATTCCTTGTTTAAGGGGTCTTGGGCTCTCTGGGTGGATGGCATTGGCCAGGTGCGTCATTATGGCCGGGGCTTCACGGAAGTTGCGACTCGAAAGGATGAGCTCTTGAGGCCTTCGGGTTCAGAAGACCCTGAGCCCAACACCCAAACACGGAAGTCTTGAATCCCAAAACGTAAGTTTGGGGGTCTAGGGGTTCGGGCTTTTAGGGTTTAGGGGTTTAGGGGTTTAAGGTTTAGGGTTTAGGGCCCCCGTAAACGCAGTCCTAGACCCTAAACCCTAAACCCTCAACCCTAAACGAAAGACCCTGAACCCTCAACCCTCAACCCTAAACCCCAGACCCTAAACCCTAAACCCAAGCCGAGAGTCCTTCTGACGTGGTTTCTGGCCACCAGGCTGCGGTAGCCTTTGAAGACCTTCCCCGAGGCAGCAAAGCGATCGGTCCAGGGGCCGTCCTCGCACCTGGGTTCCGGGTTTAGGGTTTAGAGGTTTAAGGGGTTAAGGGTTTAGGGGGTTTTAGGGGTTAGGGTTTAGTGTTTGGGGTTTAGGGTTTAGGGTTCAGGGTTCCGGGTTTAGGGTTTAGAGTTTAAGGTTTGGGGTTTTGACTTATGGGTTTAGGTTTTAGGGCTATGGCTCCTTTTGCATGGAACCTAATGAAAACCTTTACGGAACCGTGCCAGCTTTGTGGAGCCTTTATTGTAACCCCTGTCGACCCCGTCAAAACTCCAAAAACTAAAAAGCCTAAGAACCCTAAACCCTAAACCCTAAATCCTAAGTCCTAAGCCCCTGAAATGACTTAAATAACCAAAAAGAAAAGCATCTCCATCCTTGCCCACAGGCGCTGGAAGGGAGCGAGGAAGATGATCAGCTGGCAAGCCTGATGCTTTAAGAGGATTTGGATATAGCTTCAAGGTTTAGTATATTGTGTAGGGTTTAGGGTTTAGGATTTAGGGTTTAGGGTTTAGGGTTTAGGGTTGCTTGGTTTGGGGCTCTAGGGCTGCATGACTTTTGTGCAGGAGTTCAGGGCCAAGGGGTCCAAGTTCAAGGAATCTACAGGTGGGGAGTTTAGGGTATATAGGGCTTCTCCGTAAGGCTTCTATAAAGTATATAGACCTTCGATAAGGCTCCCAAAAGGGTAACTACCCTAAACCCTAAAACCCTAAACCCTAAACCCTAAACCCAAACCCTAAACTCGAAACCCTAAACCCTAAATACCCACCTAAACATGTCCTAGACTAACGTTTGAGGATGTCAGGTGTCGGGGAGCCCGTGTCGCTTCCCGTCGCTTTGCCTCGCAGGAGGATCTTCCCCCTGAAATCCGACTGAAAGGATCATTTGGGGTTTAGGGTTTAGGGTTTAGGGTTTAGGGTACTTAAAGGATCATGGGACTTAGTAACTAAGGTCATTGTTAGGATAACTATGCTTATAACCCCAATTAAGGTATTATAACCATACTTACTTTGTCCCATGATCCTCCAAGTAACCCCCCCCCCCCCAAACCCTGAACACCACAGCCCAAACCTTAGCTTCGGAGGTCAAAGCATGATCCCGACGTTCTACAGTAGAGGCATTAATATTTAAAATAGGGTTTTGGAGTATATTATACTATAGTTATAATACGGAACCCCCAAAACAGTATTGGTAATTCTTTAGGCAGTATTTTACTCATCTTCGTGGCCTTCTTCAACCCTTGTACTACCCTTACCGCAACCCCTGAAGAAATGAAATCCCCTTGTAGAAATGCTCATACTCATACTACCCGTACTAGTAATCCCTATTACAGCACCCTTACAGCCACCCTTAAACGAACGCCTCCAGGAACCCAACTAAATCAGGCGCCTTAATAATTAGACTAGGGTTTTGGGCCCATTATACTGCAACTATAATGAGGAAGCCCAAAATAGTATTGGTACCCTCAACCCTAAACCCTAAACCTTAAACCTTAAACCCTGAACCCCTAAACCCTAAACCCTAAACCCTAAAACCCTAAACCCTAAACCCTGTAGGAACCCCAATGGAACCCAACGATTCTTCAACTCAATCCCCCCGCGTCCTGGAAAGCCAGGAGCTGACAGGACCCGGCAAGGCGGCGCCCCAGCAAAATCGACGAGACTTGCCTGGGCTCTTGCTAAGGCGTTGAGGGAGTTAGGGTTTAGGGATTTAGGGGGTTTAGGGTTTAGGGTTTAGGGATTAGGGTTTAGGGTTTAGGGATTAGGGGTTTAGGGTTTAGGGTTGAGGGAGTTGGGGTTTAGGGTTAAGGGAGTTTGGGGGCTTAGGGTTTAGGGATGTAGGGGGTTTAGGGGGTTTAGGGTTTAGGGTTGTGAATCCGTTGTGGAAGCAGA